ATCTATTTTGAGGGTTTTTTGAAAAATAGTATCCTTAGTCTCAAAGATATAGTCTTTGGATTTTTGTTGTTGTTGTGTATTTGTTTTTTATTGTTTTGTAGCTGAGCGAATAGTTAAAAGCCTTCATTGCTACTTAAAATACCATATGGGTGACTACTTCTCACTTTTTCTTGGGAATGATTTTCTTCTGGGATCTCTACTTCCTATAATAAAATCCTAATGAATTTAAGACACTGGTGGAAGGGAGTATTCTAATTGAATTTTCAGTTAACTCAGCATCGACATACACTGAAATTCGTAAATAAAGAGCTTTAGGATTTTGTAGGATGTAGATAATCACTTTGTTTACCATTATATAAACTTATAAAAGGATGAATCTGAACTGGGCATTGTTAAATAGGTTAAATGTTCAGCCATAAACCAAAGAACAAAAGCAAACAAAAACTTAAGTTTTAGGTAACTTTACTATGAAGTAAACATTGTAGAAATCTGATTGTGTCTATATTAGTTTGTATACTGTGTGTAAGAATATATGTATTTCTTTTATAGCCACGTCATGAATATTTTAATGTCCCTGTGTACTAAATGACTACTCATCGAGTATGCAGAATTTCACAGAGGAAATAGAGAGCTGATACACTTATGAAAGAAAATATCCTCAGCTTGCTGACTGACTATTTTATAAAATAGAAGAAATTTTAGAACCAGTACCTTTATGATTGTATTTCTTTACTGTTCACATTCCTCTTTCCTGTTTTATTTTCATTTTATATGTGATCTTGATATATTTTATTCTATCTATCTATTACTGATTTAGTTTATTCTTGACAAAATATGGCCTGTGAATATTTTGAGTAATACTCATCTAAACACATACATGTTATCATTAATGAACCATCTGTAATTAATCTTATAAGAGAAAAATCTAGCAATCATTAGTGTTTACCAAAGAAAATGTAGCTGAAGTGCTTGGTCCGAAATAAGCAGTGCCATAATATTTTGTGTGGTTTGGTATTCAGTTGTTGAAGACAAAATAAACTGTATTTAGTCTGATTATCTTACCATCTATATGAGTTAATATGTTCTGATGTATCACATAAAAATATATGGAAATAATACAAGAAAGTAAAACTAATTTATACTATTATAGTATTTAAGGTTAAAACATTAGATTTTTAATAAATTTTATAGTGCCACATTTGTGCTATGTAATACTATTGAACAATTCCTTTAAGATCTATCAGAAAGCTTCTTCAGAAAAGTCTCTCCTACAATATCTGTTGTTCAGTAGTAGCCCTCTCAGAATATTAATACTGAGTTTATTTATATAGTACAAAATATTCAGTTTCAATACCTAATTGCTTTATAATATATTGAGTCTTCATTTAAATACTTAATGCTGTGTTAACTATGGCTCTATGTTTCTGAATACTAAAAACTTTTAATATTGGTCAATGTTGTATATGCTTTTAAACTTAAACTTGTAGCATATTTTATTATAAAACGAAAAGTTCTAAATAATTCATTTGTATCTAGAGAGTTTAAAGCCAAAGTGATTTGTCATTAAGCAATAAGTCAAACTAGTTTGCCACTGAAAGACGACCTATAAAACTGTGTTTTGAGCAAACTTAGTATTAGGCAGGTATACATTTTTTTTTTACCACCCTTGTTGTATTGCACTACATTTGAAGCATTGAGAAACATCGGTCTTTCATTTCCATTTTTTTTTTTTCTTCATCCCGTCCCCTGCCAGGCAGTATGTTCATCTGGTTTTAATGCTGCATTAAATCTGCATTGTCTCATGCCTGTTTGCTTTGGATGCTGTGTGCTGAGCTGTAATGAAGTGTTCCTTTTTTTTTTTTTTTTTGTTATCTATATATAGCTGCTTGCTTTTAATTAGTAGATTCTGAAATAGCTTTTCTTGCATGTCTAAAATAAAAATATTGCATGTTACTTAGTCTCATGTGAATGACTTTTTTTCTTCTCCATCCCTTTTGATAAAATAACATTTTATATTTTCATTTTTCCAGTAATTTTTTAAATAGTGGTAAAAAAAAAACATGTAACATAGAATTCACCATTTTAACCATTTCTAAGTGCATAGTTCAGCAGTGTTCAATATATTCACATTGTTGTACAGCAGATCTCCAGAACTTTTTCATCTTGCAAAACCAAAACTATACCCATCAGTCAGCCACTCCCCATTTTGCTCTCCCCCAAGTCCTGGTAAACAGTATTCTACTTTCTGTTTCTGTAAATTTGACTATTTTAGATAATACAAATTGTGTGAAATTACATTTTATATTGTAAATAATTTGTAAAGTAATTATACTTGTACAGTCTTGAACAAAATGTGTAAAGGACAAATATTTTAAATAACATATACTCAAAAAGCAACATGATTCTCTTCAGGAAACACTATAAAAGACCACAGGCAGAGAGCACATTGGAGAAATCTGATCAGCTCCATGTAATAGTTGTGGGCCATTTTTACCTAGATAAACTAGAATTCAATGTAGGCATCCTTTAATTAACATTTAAAGGTTGCATGAAGTTTTTAAATTAATATTAAATGGAAATTATTACTATTTTTTTTGCTGGGACTGGGGTTTGACCTCAGGGCTTCATGCTTGTAAAGCAAGTGTTCTCCCATTTGAGCCACACCTCCAGTGCAGTTTGCTCTGGTTATTTTGGAGATGGGGTCTCTTGTACTGTTTGCCCTGACTGGCCTTTGAACCTCAGTCCTCCTGATCTCAGTGTCCACATAGTTAGCATTACAAGCTTAAGCCATGGGCGCCAGGCTAGAAATGATTATTTTTTAAATTGTTATTAAATAGGCGATTCAGATGTCATTCCCTTAGTGTGTTTAGTTAAAGAAGGCCAAACATAAATAGAAGAGATTAGCACATATCACAATGGGGAGTGTTGCATCATTTCCATTAGACTTTATTAAAAGCCTATTATGAAAACTTCAAGACACAATTATAGAGAATACTATAAAGAACCTTTTTGTCCACATCTCTCCACTTCTGCAACCACCAGCTTAACTAACACTCTACTTGTTTCCTCAAACACATCCCCATCTATTTTTGCTTCAGTACTTTAGAGTCAGCCCTAGACATCTGTCATTTCATCTTTAATACTTCAGTATGTATCCCTAACAGTAAGTAAGTACCACAGCCAACAAAATTAATAATAATTAATTCTAATGTCTTATGCCTAACTCCGTTTTTCCTAATTATCTTCAAAAAACACCTTTTTATAATTCATTGTTAGAACCAGATTCCAAACAAGGTTCACCTTATATCTAGTTCATATATTTTAAGTCTCTGAAGTATTTATTTTTTGTGGGACTGAGGTTTGAACTCAGGGCTTCACACTTGCAAAGCAGGTGTTCCTATCACCTGAGCCACACCTCCAGTTCATTTTGCTCTGGTTAGTTTGGAGATGGTGTCTTGTGAACTGTTTGTTCGGGCTGACTTCCAACGAGATCCTCCCAGTATCAGCTTCCCAAGTAGCTAGGATTACAGGCGTGAGCCCTGGGTGCCCAGCTAATTCTCCGAATTTTTAACAAGCCTGCTTTTTTTCCTTTGCCAGTTCACTTAATACTTAATGCCATATAGTTTCGTAGATTCTATATTTCACTGATTGTATTCTTGTGGCAATGTTAAACTTTTTTTTTTAATCTGCCATCTATATTTAGATCTGTAACCTGATTAGACTGAAGTTCAGTTGAGGGTGAGGACAAGTATACTTCATAGATTAGGCTGCCTTTTAAAAATCTGATTTTAATTCTTTCAAATCTGATTTTCACCCATTTTCCATTACTACAGAAACATATTTACAGGTCATTCTGTGAATAGTTTTGGTTGTAGTACTTCAGCTTAGTATCAGATACTAAATGCTTAATTTATATTTCAGTCGTAAACTATCAGCTAATGTTTTTTTGAAGCATTTTCTATAAATCAGGCACTGAGCCTTAAACTCATTCTCAGCTTATGAAGGTAAGTATTAGTATTCTTGCTTTCCAAACATGGGAACAGACCATAGAGCTTAAGCAATTTAAGGTTACACTATGAAGTACCTTACATACAACTGAACCTAATCTAAGGATTTATGATTAATATATTTTTTCCTTGCTTTGTGCTGTGCCGTATTAGGATGCAAAAGTAAGTTTATTATTAAGTACCAAAATCTTACATAGTTTCCTCCATTAAAATATAGTACTATCTTTTAATTATGAAATTGCTAGTAATACCTAAAAGTTGACCTGGTTACTCAAATTTTGTGATGTACAAAATGAGACACTTAGAAATTTAAAAATTTTTTTTCTACATATAGCTGCTTCATTTTGTCTTCCTTTGACATTTAGAAACAAGTATTGGTTGTCACATAAGACCAAAATGCCTTTTGTCCAGAGTGTTTATTTCTATATAAGGCATCCAATGATGCCATTAGTTGCCCAGGGAATGTCTGGGAAGATGGCTTTTTCTAAAACATTGCTGCTGTGGACATTTAAGTAAAAAACTCCAAGAAGACATTTTTATAAATACATGTGACTTAAAAAAAAAGAAGAGCACAGAAAACATTAGGTGAACCATTAGGAACTTGGGATGGGGGGAACTGCTTTTTATTTGGAGGAGGTTTTGAATTTAATACTAAAATAATCTTTCTTGTATATAACTGGATAGCAGTGATTTCATACATTGCTAGTGAGTTTACATAGGGCTTGATTGCTTTTTGTGCTATAGCAATAATGCCCAGCACATTGGTGGGTAGTCAGTAGATATTTAATAAATGCTGAAAACATCTTTCTGTGGTGTGTAGTGTTTAGGTACAAAGACCTAAATAACCACAGGTTGTCATTAGTAGGATGCACCTAAAACTGAATTGCTTGCTTTATTCTCTAGAATGAGCACATGTCCTTCCTGTTAGTTTTTCACATTCTTAGACTCCCTCCCTGGATCTGCTTACCAGAATCTCACATTTTCCCTCCACAGGAAGCTGAAACCCCACGTAGTGTTCTTGAAGAAATTGGACTGACATAACTCTCCTCCCTTGTTGATGACTCCTTGTGGCATTTCACATACTGTAAATGGTCACTGCCTTCATGTCCATGTTAGCTAATGTGTAAGATGATGTCTTGTCAGTATTACTGGTTTGCTAAGCTGCTTCATTTAGGCCTACACAATTTTTTTTAAAGGGAACTTTGGTTAATCAAATGATAAATTAAGGGACTTAAATATGAATTAGAAAGATGCAGAAAAAGATAGCTTTTCTGGATATTTTAAGGTTCACAAGTCAGTTTCTCATAATGTACATGTATGAAAATGACATGTATACATGTATATCAAACAATTTGGCAAAATACATTCATTACTGTATCTGAAAAAGGAAACTTAAAATTACCCTGTGAAACCTGGTTTTGTGAAACCAAAGACTAGAGCAGCAATTCAGTATATATAAGAATAAAGGGAATTGATATGCCACATCAAATGAATGAGAATTTAACTATTACAACGTTAAACAAAAAACCAAATTTATACCATAGTCTCCTATTGGACAGTATGTACCTTAAAGGGAGTAAAGATTACTCTAGATGACTAGATTGGAATGATGTTTTACACTAAAAATATTAAGTACTATGAACTAATAGGACAAGGAACAAAGACTATCACAATAATGAGCACATGAATTGTTAAGGCCAAGGCATGTTTGACTGCTGAGTTGAATTTTTTGTGGTCGTAATAATTTACTTGCTTGGATTATTTTTGATGCCCCCCAAATGAAGTAAGAATGTTAATTTACCAGGAATTCTTCGTAACAGTATCTTACAGAAACGTGTTGGTCTCTTCACAGTGTTGCATAGTCATTGTTTAAAGTTCGAATGTTCCTTCTGCGGTGCTTGTTAAAGCCAAATTTATTTTGCTTCCCTCCAGTTAGAAGTGCTGCAAACTTTACAACAGCTTCCTTTCCCTCCTTGGCACTGCCTAGTTATCAGAAGTCTTATTAAAATTTAGAAGATACCTTCATATAACAAAGTGAGAGTTAAATGAAGTAAAATGGCATTAGTTGGCCCTATATTTTTTAAAGCTATATAATTGTTCAGCATCACTTTTATACATACTTACTTAGACATATCTAAACACGTCTTCATGGTTTACACTTTCACTTGTATACCCTGGGCTGGATTAAGCTTTGTTGTGATTGTAAACAACATTTAAGTCACGTGACCACTGTCTCATCACATCGCCTATTAGTTGTAATAAATGTTCAACATATAAACACTGTAGTGTGTTTTTATCTCTTTCCAAAAGAGTTGTCAAACTTAGCTGCTGAAGAATTTTTCCTTTTTTTTTGGCAATAAAATGTTGACAATTCCCTTCCATTTGCCCCCTCCTCCATTTGAGTGTGGTGGTGGTTATAAGCACACACAAGAAAAATGGAAGAAGATTTAAGGAATTTTCATGTACTTCAAGCTCAAAACAGATTCCATGCTACCAAGAGCATATCAACATTTATTTTCAATTAATAAATGCCGCTTATAAAACCTTGAAGCAGTTGACTTTTTACTTTCTGAATAATGCCTCATTATTCCAGGTAATCTAAAGGTATCCCCGCCATCTCACTCCTCTGTCTTCCTTTGGACTGGAGGTGTTAGACCAGTGTAATTGCAGACTGCTGCTTAATGGAAAGCAGCAAATCAAAACTTTAGTGATTGTAACAGTGAAGGGGTCTCCTACAGCGGCAAAGGAATGCTACATTCTAAAACGGGGGTATTTAAGAACAAGGAAAGGACTACCATAACATTCAATTGCTAGTCTACTAAAAACAGAAATTTGTAGGTTTAAAAGGCCCATTCAAGGCAGCAATTCAATGAAAAACCTGTGAGCTTCTGCCAGCAATGCAGATAAACTTGTCATCAAGTTATATATAGACACCTTAATATTTAACTCAAGGTGGCTATCAGGATAACGGGTAAGAGGTTTATGAACTCCCCCCCGCCACTACACTCCCCCAATTTTCCCTGCCCACTAATATTTGAGGGAAAAAGTCATATCTCTTGGCAGCACTGGGGTTTGAACTCAGCACCTCATGCTTGCTAGGCAGGCGTGCTTACCGCTTGAGCTGCTTCAACAGCCAGCATCTCAAGTTATTTTCAGCTTAGGGTGGATTTTTTTCCCCCCCATAATCTAAGAATATTCAAGTTTAGCTGGGTGTGTGGCGCATACTTACCATAATCCCAGCTACTCTGGTGGCAGAGGCAGGAGGATCATGAAGTTCAGGCCAGTCAGGTAAAGTTGTCAAGACCCTATCTGCAAAAGGAAAAAAAAGTGTGTGAGATCCTTGATTCTATGCCTAGTACGGCCAAAAATAAATACAATTTCAGTTTTGGGTCTGGGAATGTAGCACAGTGGTAGAGCCCTTGCCTAACATGCATGAGGCTCTGGGTTCCATTCCCAGCATTGGAAAGAAGAAACCAGCTTTGCATACCACAGTTAATCGTGTAACCTTTGCTGTAGTTAGAAAAGTATTGAAAAATGCTGCGTCAGTGATAATTATTCAGCATTGGTAAATCCAGAGTTGAAGCAGGTGTTTAGTTTGGAACAAATTGGATTCTTTAAGTTTATTCTGGTGTACACACTAACTACAGATCAAAGAACTTTTTTTTTTTTTTTTTGGTGGTACTGGAGTTTGAACTCATGGCCTCACACTTGCTAGGCAGGCACTCCCACTTGAGCCACTCCAGCAGCCTTATTTTTGTGCTGGGTATTTGCAAGATAGGGTCTCTCAAACTCTGCCCAGGCTGGCTTTAAACCCCTATCCTCCTTATCTCTGCCTCCTGGCAACTAGGATTACAGGCGTGAGCCAATCTGTAAGGCCTTCTGCTTCCTAGGTCATTTTGGTTAACTTTTCAGTCTTTTGTGCATCTTTTTCTTATTCCCAAGTCTCAAACTGCCAAATGCCACATAACTGGAATTCAAGATCTGAAGTATGTGAATGAAAAGTTAATTTTATGATTTGAAATCTAGGGATAATATGCAGGAAACCTTTTCTACATTCTTCTGTGACCATTCCTGATTTTTATCTCAGAATTGCATCAACAGGAGATGTATTCCATCACAATGACTTCAGTTTTCCTGGAAATGACAAAAAGCTTTACCACTATGTAAAGAACTTTCCAACAAGATATTAGAATCAATACCTACTCTCTCAGAAAGTCCCCAGCTCAAGGGGGACTGCAGATATACGTAAGGAGATCTCTAATAACTTAAAATTTAAAAAATGAATTTTTAAAAAGTTTAGATTTTATGTACAGAAAAATCCAATAGATTTAAAAGGGCAAACAAGATTGGCTCAATGGTCATTAAATGCAGAAAAAAGTGCTCAGCCTAGCCAATATGTACAGAAACAAACCCTTAGACACAAAATTTACCAAACTAGTGAAGATTAAAATAACTTTCTATGTGAGCAGCAAAGCTTATCATCAATAGAGTAAAAATTTCTGTAGTCTTTACACAAGGCAATTTGGATTGCCTTCCTTGATATAATTTATCCAGAGGAGATGGTCAGAAATGTTGGAAATCGTTAAGGCAATCCATTACAGGATTGTTTTCAGCACAGAATTCTTCAGCAGTACATTTTAAGTCCAACAATAGGGATGTAGTTGAATAAACTGTTGATGCACACTATTCAGTGAGTAAAAATGCCAAGAATGGGCTTGGTGAAATATGGTAATGTGAAAAATGTTCAGTTAGAACCACATATAGTGTTTGTAAAAAAAAAAAATGTAAATGTGCATAAGAAAGACTTATAGCAATGCTCCAGTGTTAATTGGTTATCTCAGGGTTAGAATCAGGAGTAATTTTCAGGTTATTTATATGTTTATGTTTTCTATACTAAATACAGTTTGTGATTTTCAAAAAGTTTTTAGAAAAGATTTCAGGCTTCATAGGGTTGGACCAGACTTGCAAACCCATCTGAGCTCAGTGCTCTCTATCCAGGTGAGTAGCAGTCATAATAGACACACAATCATTTGGGAACAAAACGAGTTTATTTGGCTTTGGGGCTCTGCGTGGTTCTGTCTCTACTCCCCGACCTCCTTCCCCCATGGCTCCTGGACGTGGATGAGCTCTGGCTCTGTTGGCTCCTGCTCCTACGGCTGCGGCTGCGGCTGCGGCTGCGACTCCAGCTGCGGTCCTTTTTTCTTCCTCTGCTTCGTGAACTGTGCCTCTCGCGACTCTTTGCTGTGTGTTTGTGAGACTTATGTCTACTGTGACTACTCCTCTTCCTCTCAGACTCCCCATTTCTCTTGTAGGAGTGGTCTAGACTAGGGCTTCTTCTTCTTCTTGGCCTGCCATAGTATTCATCATGGTGGCCCACCCTCTCTCTCCTCTCCAAGTTCTTACCAATGGAAGAGCCAGTCTGATCAGGAGATAAGTAGGTGTTTCTATTAGCTTCCCAAAATTCATTGTTGGGATTTCTAAACACATGAAGAAAGTTGCAGTGTTTCCCTCTTGGACACTGTTGTATTTCAAACAACCCTGCAATGGTACAGTGATAACAGCAGTTATTATTCTGCTTTCTGAAGATGGCACTTTACCCTATTCAGAAGTTCATTTCTGATGTTCAGATAGGTTTGAATTATTTACTACTGTGTATTATTTAAAAGAGGCTTACATAAATTGATGTCACAGTTCGGTTCCCAGAATTACAAAACATTCAAATGCTCTAACAGAAGGCACTCTGGTAACAAACTGAAAGGTTTAATTCACCCGAATATTGTATCAACAGAGTTTAACTGAACAAATGGTGACCACATTACTTTTTCTAGGACTTCCACCATCCACTGATTGACAATTTATAGATTCCCAATTAACACTGAAGGACCAAGTTTTAGGGTCCCTGCAGTAGCATGCTTTGAAGCCATGGTTGTGGCAAGACAGAACCACTGGTCAAAAGAGATGGCCTACCATTGGTGAAAAATGCTGTATTTTCTTTATACTTTAAGAATAAATTCTTTACACCTCAAGAAGAAAAAAAGGTAATAAACATTGGCCTAATGCCTTAAATTTACCAAGAGCTTTTATTATGAAAGGCTCTTGTCAAGTTAAAATCTTTTTGAGTATGGAAACATTACAATGAAACCTATATTTAAAAACTATATTAAGCTGGATTAAGCTCACACCTGTAATCCTAGCTACTTGGGTGGCTGAGCTCAGGAGGATTGAGGCTCAAGGTTAGCCCAGGCAAATAGTTTATGTGATCCCGTCTCCAAAATAACCATACCAAAATGGATTGGGGGTGTTGCTAAAGCCCTGAGTTCAACTCTAGGCCCACCAAAAAGAACCACCAAAAACCTATATTTAGTCCATTTGATAGCTAAAAATAAATAAATAAAATCTATTTGAACTACTCTGAGATCCTTTTGAAGTTATCAAACTTTATTTTAAGCAGTAAATTCCCCACATATATAAAACAGTTGAAAGTGAAATAGCACTATACAAAAATTAACTCAGATGGAACCATGGCTCAAGTGGTAGCGTGCCTGATTACCAAATGGAAAGCCCTGACCTGAGTTCAAACAAGTACCAGCCAAAAAAATTTTTTAAAAAGTTCACTCAAACTGACCTAAATGTAAGAGATGATCTGTAACTGAAGAAAGCACACAAGTCTTGGTGACCCTGCACTAAGCAATGGAGTCCTAGATGGGACACCAAATACACAAACAAGAAAGACAAAAGAAAAAAAAAAGATCAGTTGGACTTAATAAAAATTATAAAAAGGAAGCCACAAAATTTTTGTGCTTCAAAGCATACGAAGTAAAAAGGCAACCCATACAATGGGAGGAATATGTGCAGATCACATTTGTGGTCAGATGCTTGTAAGTAAAATTAAGAACTCTTTGACTCAATAATAAAGACAAATTAACCCAATTAAAAATGGGTCAAGGATCTGAAGAGACATCTCTCCAAAGAAGATATACAAATGGTCAATAATAAGCATACAATAAGTTCAATATCATTAGTCACTAAGGAGAATAACAAAGCAGTTATTAAAAAAAAAAGGCTCCTGCTTTGGGGACGTCCAAGCCACACTCATAAGCACCTCACTGAAATCACACTGCATTCCCAGGAACTGGCAAAAGTAATTGCCTTATGGAGAAAACAATTTCATTTCCAAGCCTTTAAACTTGGGGTATAATGGTTCTTCATGTTTTCCCAAGCAAGGTATTCTATAACCTCCCACCCACCCCCTTCATATATGGTTTATTGATTGACTGATTGAGGCCAGGTTGGCCTCAGATTTGTGATCCTCTTGTCTTAGCTCCTGAATGTTGGGATCATAGGCATGCATCACAAGGCCCAACATAGTTTTAAAATGACAGCACCCATTAAGGCAAGTCTGCCAAGGATTCAAACTTTACAAACTACTTTTTACTAAGAAGTTTTAAGCAGATGAGAGTGTAAGTTAAAGAAACCCAAATACAAGGAAAGCTAAGGTACATCCCTGAGGCATTAAGAGCCTCATCTCTTTTTACCTGGGGAACTACTGTTCTGGTTTGGCTAATCCCATTTTTAGAAATCAGAAAATGACTAGGTCTTTGAAGCTGCTGGTGACTCTCTGAGCAGCACTGAATCACTTCCTGGTTTGGCTGCTACTGTCCGATGAATGAGTCTAACTGAATGTACCAAACATACAACTAAACTAATCCTACACCTAACAGTGGTCCCTAATGCACAAGAGCACGATTTCAAGTGAGGTGGGAAATGCTGCCTACAGGTACTGTTTTGGTGGCAGTCATGATGGAAGATTCCTTAGGGGCAAAGATGGAAACAAACAACTCAAGTGAAGAGAGGCAATGAATAAAAAACACCTCTGAAACTGATACGGTCAATGTGGCTGCCTTTAGACATTTCTTGGGCTTCCTGAACTGTCACAGAGCCCAGGACTGAGGATCAAAAGACTGAAATTCTAGCCCCAACTCTGTCACCCATACATTGTGAACTTGGTCACCTCATCCATACAGTGACTTATAAGGTCTGTTACAGATCTAATCTACAGTGTCCTTTAACATCTCTGGTCATCTGCATGAGAAAAAAAAAACTATGCCTCACCCCTTTAAAAGATTATTTATTGTCAAAGAATATCCCTTTATATAGAGGGACAATGCGGGAGGGGAGGGAGGAGAAATCATCATATTGTCCTTTACCACAGATTGCCATTTTCCACCGAGTCACTGGGCAGAATTCGCACTGAAGCTGTCGTCCTGCGTACCATCGTCCATTAAACAGAGAAAGGGCTGCTTGGCATTCTTCCTCCCTTTGAATGAAAAATGAAAGCATGTACTTTATAGTAACTCTTAACAAGAAGATTAAACCTATTATTAGTCATCCTATTATTAATCAATCCTTTTATTCATTAATTGTAGGACCACCAAGTTCACAGTTTTTGTACAGCTTCAGGAGTCCTAATTAGAGCATTCAGGCTCCTATAGCTCACAATTTATTCAGGAACCTTTTTGACTAACCCTCTGAGAGGTTTCGATGTATGGAAATTGGGTTGAGTCAAAGCTTCTTAATCCAAAAGACTGTACCATTAAAACTGCAGAAGTGTTTTCCATTGTTACAGCCTATGCTTTCTCAGCTAAGACTGCTGTTCTTCTTATTTCAATGGTTAATTGAACCCATTAGCCATGGTGCAGCCTAGGCAAAGAGCAAGACAAACAGAATAACAGAGTAACTACTCTCCTAGCTGCTCAAATGCACTTTTAGACTATTTGGGGCTTCCATCTCTGTCTCTTTAGATTTATATTTTATATTCTCTATTGTAGTTATCCTTTTTCAGTTTAAATTTTAATCATTAAAATTTTACAATAGCATTACCATACTGTAAATGGTTCAAAACTTTACAAGTATACAAAGAAGGAAATGCAAATGTATTATTTTCAAATCCTGTCTATATTTCTTTATCAGCTCTTAACATTTGCATTTTGAAAAATACCTCACATACGAAAACCATCCATCCATTGGGAAAGTCCTAGACATCAACAGAAACAAAATACCATACTATGACAAAACACGAAGGCAAGCATGTTCACAATACTTACGACTGGTACTGAACATACACATTGCCCCTTAGATGAGGTTCCAAGTTGCAGCTGACCTAAGGAGCAATGAAAAATGCTAGCATAAGAAGTTGAAGAAACCATCCAGTCATCTGATATACTTTGTTCCGGTTAACATAACCAAAAGTAGTTACTGATCAGATTCCAAAATAGAGATACTAGCCCATTTTTGTGTCTATTTAAGATACACTTCAGCACATAGCAGCATTTCAGGTCCCAATTATCTGATCCCTGTTGATCCAGGTCCATTTTTTCTTTTTTTCCCACAAATATGAAATGTTTCACACATGCATAAAAATTCAGAGAATATTAATCAGCCCATAGATATACTACCCAGATTTAAATTTCCATTTTTGACAGAATGTTTAAATAAGCAAAACATTAAGGTGAAGTCCTTCCATTCTATTCTTCTCCCTCCTCCATAACTTAGGTAAGCACTATCTAGAGGCTGAATGTAGCTTTCATGTTTCAAACACAAGCATGTGTGTGTAGATCTACATATAGATACATAACTCTCTCTACACACATGGATGTATACCTGCCAGAAAACATGTATCACACAAAAATCTACATTATACAAAATGTATATACACATTTATGTATATATATGCAAAGGAACATGTATATGTACTGGTAATATATAGTATTACTTTATTTTTATATAAATGGTATTTATATTCTTCAACATGTAATAATACGAACTTAATGACTCATCCTCAGTATTGTATACAAGATACATCAAAATTATCAAATTTATATATCTACTCATGGGGAATGGCTACCCAAGGTACTTCCAATTTTCCATCCACAAACTACCGTCATCAGCACTCTTTTTTTTTTCCTTTTTTTCGTCATCAGCACTCTTGAGCACATTTCTGTGGGTGGAAAGATTCTCTAGTCTGCATAACCAAAAGGAGCATGCCAATTTGTCGATTTCCACTTCACTAGGTATTGACAAACTGTTCTCTGAAGTGGCTTTATTAATATAATACACATCCTTTACCCATACTTTTGAGATTAATAGAATTTATAACTTATGAGGTAGGTGTGAATAACATCTCATTTTCATATGCACTGTTCCTATTACCAGTAATGTTGAACATTTAACCATTTGCCTTCAAAAATGAGAAATTTGATTTGCTTTTATATAATGGCCTATAAAAAGGTCCCCTACTAGTGTTTACACATTCATTTTGAAGATAATGTAATAAATTTGTTTCAGAGTATTTTACTAGCATATCCAAAAGGGACAGGATCCATGCACAATGACAGTTTGTAACACCATCCTTAGAAGGAAGAATAGGCCTCAGGAGTCCATGTGAACTGTACCAGGAAGCTCGAAAATCATTTAACCAAGTGATTTCCGAGGACCTGTTATTAATTTTCAATACTGAATCCAATGTTTTGAATTTTTTTCTACTATAAATTTATTAACTAGTTTTCCATTTGTAACTGCCAGTGTGACTGCATGAGCTCAGCCATCTTATCAGCTTTCTAAACAAAACAAAACAAACAAGTCATGGTTAGGTGCTGGCTGCCACAGTGGTGCTGCTGGAATGGAACCCAGAGCCTTGTGTATGCTAGGTAAGTGCTCTACCATTGAGCTATATTCCTAGCCACCAGTCTGAAGTCCTGAAAGCAACTCCACCATTACTGCTTCACAGAAGCAGTATGATCCAGGGACTCTATAAGGGAAACCAGTGGCACAAGTCAATTCCGATGTTGGAATAAAGAAGCAGCATTCAGAGGTAAAGTGACACATCTGAGAGCACAGGGCTAGTCAAACCACACTGCCTCCTTGTTCAGCGTGTGTTTCAATGTGATATTGTGTAGGCGTTGACCATGCATTTCACTAGTGGCTAAAGCTGTGCTGAGTAGTACAAAGACAGGAAGGTGCAAACCACAGAAACAAAAGGTTAAAGGGGATTTTTTTTTTTTTAAATCTTTAAAAATCTTGACACCAGTTGATAGAAAGAATAGGCTTGACTTTCATGAGTATTTCTGTCTCTTGGCTGTTCCAACTCTACTGGGAAAAAAAAAAAAAACAAAAACCACCACGGCTTCATTTCTTTTTTTTCTCCAAATTAAGGGAATTTTCTCTGCCCTGATATAACAAAGTTATTCAGGTTCAATCTGATCAAATCATAGACAAGGTACAAGGCCTCTCTTCTGTTAAGATTCAACTAATGGGTCCCAGGAGCAA